CCATCTAAGTTTTTAAGCACAGTTACAACACATCAAGGGGCGACTAAGACAAAGAATATTAATTCTAGGGTATTTGACAAAAAACTAACATATTTGGGAATCCCGTCCCACCGAACTACTACATTCAAAAAAGTGACCGAAACCTATCAAAATTTTCTAATTTTATGACTAAAAACTGCCAACTCGTGTGGATGACTGTTTGAGCCATTTTAAAGTGTTGCTGACATGGCTGGCCCACATGGCAAGTCGACGGCTGCCCTAACGGCTAATTGCACGCGTCTGCCGGCAATTAGTGCCACCGCTCGATCGGAACGAGCCGGGCCAAGTCAAAACGGCCGGCCGGCTCGCCCTTCCCAGCTTCACTCACTCTCCCCCGCTCACTCTCTGCTTCATTCCTCTTTCTCTTCTCACACTCTAGTGACGCGGTGCGAGCATGCCTTCATGGCCCAACAACAGCGAGACCTCCAATGATGACGAGTACATGAACGAGTTCAACATCATGCAGATGGAGTACTTTGTAAGTCAGCTCACTCTGCTCTCTCCTCTTCTAGGGTTAGGGTTAGGATTTGAAGATACTTTGGATTTCTTCCATTTAAGTTCATATGTGTGAGCTGTTGGGGTTGATATATATGTTTTTGTTGCCACGGTAAACTCCTGACACTATGATAGAATCAAGTTTCTGTGTGCTTGTGGTTGAATCTGAGCCTAAGTGCATCCTGCACATGCAGAGGCCAGGCATGTTTCTGGCACTTCAAGGCACTGACACAAGCCGGAGATTCTTTTGGTGTGCCACTGAGGTAAGAGGAACTACGGTTTATGATTTGTTAGATTGATTTTGTGCTACATAGTGGAAACAGAACACTAAAATTGTTGTTGTTTCAGTACCTAAAAACTGAATACAGAGTCGATGCGTTGTTGATGTGTATGGATTTAGCTAGTGTTCATGTGTTAGTTCAGTTCTTTGATTGTTTTAGTCAGCACCTGAATTGGGTTGTAACTAAATTTGTTTGTTAATGCATCCAGTCAGCAACTGAATTTGTTTCTAACTGAATTTATTGGTAATTAAGGTAATAAACTAAGTTGTCTTTGCTTTTGATTGGTTCATTTTGCTTAAGTGTAAAACATTGCTATGTAGTGGAATCATAGTATTGTTTAGTTGTTTTTTTTCTGAATTTTTCTTAAGTGTAAAACATTGTTATGTCTGAATTTTGTAAGTGTAGTATAGAGCAAAAGAAAGAGCAATATTTTGCAATTGTATTGTAGAGCTAGCAAGTGTAGCTATGTATTATTATGGTTTATTATTTGTTCTTCTGAATTTGTTTGTTAGTGAAGAATATAGCTCACTATAAATTTGACTGAATTTAGCTAACAGTGTCACTGAATTTTCAGGATGGTGTGAACTGTGGTGTTTGGAGTGTGTAGATGCCCCTTGGCCAGTAATTTTGCAAAGGTGCTTAACTAAGCTCTAGGATATGTATCGTGAGCAGAACCTTGGTAGAGCCCAGGACAATGAGGCTCATCAGAGAGAGGTGGCAAAACTGGACAAGGAGCTTGATTCTCTGGGCAATCAGTACAGCCAACTTGTGGATGGTGTATCCAAGTTATTTGATTACCAGGATGGACATAATTCTCATGACATGGATTACGCAAGCCAGGCAGTCAATGAACCGAAGGAGAAGAAGAAGTGACTTGAGTAGCAGACATAGATTGAGCTTCAAATGGAGAAGCTTAAGCTGAAAAAAGAACAGAGATGCATCATATAGAGTCAAGCTAATATAAACCATAACACAAGGAAGGCCATGAAAGAGATAGAGGTGGACAGATACCTCCTTAAATAAGAGAAGAAGAAGCTGGAGCATGTCATTGCTGAGCTCTTGAAGGATGGTGAAATCACATTTGCTCCCTTGGTGGTTTTGGTAATTAATGTCAACATACATATTGTTGGACTACCACTTTTATCTAGTATATTCCAGATAAGTTCAACAGTGGCATGGCAAGGACATGAGGATGTGGACCCCTTCAAAATGCTAGGACAAGTGCTGGCAAAGGTACAAGATTCTACATTTTTGGTTAAGTGATCCAAGATCACATTGAGTCCATAGGAAAGCCAATACTATTAAAAGGGGATGAGGTTTTGATCATCACTCAATTGCTCAAGTGCTTAGTGATATTGCTCCAAAAATCCTCAAACACTTCTCCACTTCACATCCGTCCAAAACCCTAAAGTTTCATCTCGATCCCACCAAAAATCTACATCCCAGACTCACCGAGTTGATCACATACACTGCCTAAGCCAAACCCTAGCATTTTCGTTCTATCGATATGGATCTCGGTCTCATCGAGAAGGCGTGACCAAGTTTCTGTTGTGAAGTTGCTTCATTTTGTAATTACTGAGATGAAATGATCGGAACTACCGAGTGAGGTCTTGCCCTAGCCATTGCACTTCGGTCACACCAGATGTTCTGATCAGTCTCACTGAAACCTCCAACGCTACAATCTTTTACACTAGTCAGTCTGACCGAGAATTCGGTCCAATGTCACCCAGTTGGTTCAAAGACTTGTAACGGTTGGATCTTTGAGTGAAGGCTATATATACCCCTCCACCCCCACTTACTCTCTAAGAGAGCCATCAGAACGAACCACTACTTCTTCTACTCATTTTATGAGAGAGAACCACCTACTCATGTGTTGAGATCAAGAAATTTCAATCCTACCATTTGAACTTTGATTTCTAGCCTTTCCCAAGTTGCTTTCCATTCAATCCCCTCTTCTACCAAAGCCAAGTCTGTGAGAGAGTGATTGAGTGTTGGGGAGACTATCATTTGAAGCACAGGAGCAAGGAGTTCATCATCAAGAACACCATCTATTACCTTTTGGAGAGTGCTGTCTCCTAGATTGGTTAGGTGTCACTTGGGAGCCTCCAAGATATTGTGGAGTTGAACCAAGGAGTTTGTAAGGGCAAGGAGATCGCCTACTTCGTGAAGATCTACCCGAGTGAGGCTAGTCCTTCGTGGGTGCAAGCCATGATGGAAGAGACAAGGTTGATTCTTCATGAACCATTTGTGGGTGGATCCCTCCGCGGACTCGCGCAACCGTTACCCTCTGTGGATTGAAGTCTCCACCAACATGGATGTACGATAGCACCACCTATTGGAACCACGAAAAAATCACAGTGTCTTCATTGCGTTTGATCTTTCATCTCTACCCTTTACTTTTCGCACAATTGCATGCTTTACTATTTCCACTGCCATGCATGTGTAGGAAGTCTTGATGATATCTTAACTAGTGCCAAAATCTGCCTAATTTTCAAGATAACTAAAAGACGCATCTTTGGTTGGTTAAGAGTCTATTCACCCCCTCTAGACCTATCTTCTCCGGTCCTATAGTCTACATACCCTTGTAGACCGAAAGCAGAAATGTTCAACGAACATGGTTAACGTAGTCATACTCTTCATGATCCAATTCGATCGAGTGCCGAACGACCGACACCTCCGAGTTATGCACACGTACATCTTGATGACGTCTCCTCCTTCTTGATCTAGCAAGCGAGTGGGAAAGGTAGATGGTATCTAGGCCAGCATGACGGTGTGTTGGTGGTGGAGGAATTTCTACAGGGCTTCGCCAACCAACTACGAAAGAGGAAGTGGAGGGAGAGAGTGGGCGGCGGCCAGGTGGATGGGTGGTCCGGTGTCATCGAGTGGGTCAAAGACTTGTAATGTTGGATCTTTGGGTGAAGGCTATATATACCCCTCCACCCCCACTTACTCTCAGTGAGAGCCATCATAACGAACCACTACTTCCACTACTCATTTTCTGAGGGAGAAGCACTTACGCATGTGTTTAGATCAAGAGAGTCCAATCCTACCATTTGAACCTTGATTTCTAGCCTTTACCAAGTTGCTTTCCATTCAATCCTCTCTTCTACCAAAGCCAAACCTGTGAGAGAGTGATTGAGTGTTGGGGAGACTATCATTTGAAGCACAAGAACAAGGAGTTCATCATCAACAACACCATCTATTATCTTTTGGAGAGTGGTGTCTCCTAGATTGGTTAGGTGTCACTTGGGAGCCTCCAAGAGATTGTGGAGTTGATCGCCTACTTCGTGAAGATCTACCTAAGTGAGGCTAGTCCTTCATGGGCGTAAGCCATGATGGAATAGACAAGGTTGCTTCTTCATGGACCCTTCGTGGGTGGAGCCCTCCATGGACTCACGCAACCGTTATCCTCCACGGGTTGAAGTCTCCAACAACGTGTATGTATGATAGCACCACTTATCGGAAGCATGCAAAAAATCTCCGTGTCTTCATTGCGTTTGGTCTTTCATCTCTACCCTTTACTTTCCACACAATTGCATGCTTTACTATTTCCGCCGCCATATCTTTAGAGATGCATGTGCAGGAAGTCTTGGTGATCTCTTAACTAGTGCCAAAATCTGCCTAATTTTCAAGAGAACTAGAAACTGCACCTTTGCTTGGTTAAGAGTCTATTCACCCCCCCTAAACCTACCTTCTCCGATCCTATAGCTGGCCATGGATGCAAGGTAAAGGTGGACAAGACCAAAGAAGTTGTCATGGAGGATTAAAGTGGTACCTATGGTTGGTAAGTAAATATGAGGCCTATATATAACTAGCCTAGGACTGGAATCTAATGTAGATATGCATCTTACTATTAATATTAGCTATGAACTGTCTATGGTTTCAGATCATTTTGGTTGTGGTGTGGGGTGCTGTAATGCCCCTGATCTGTAATGCTCCAGGATTATCCTAGGTGTAATGGCCCTGATGCTAAGTTAAGAACCATATTATCTAAGTCTGATGAAGTTTATATCTGTTTGTTTTATCCTAAATGGTTGCATCCCCTACTTGCAATTTGTTGCTGAAAGCTAGTTGTTGGTACACTGAAACTGAAACTTGGTGACACTAAACAACACTGAAACCAAAACTGAAACTTGATAACATTACATAGATAGCACAAACTTGGTAACACTGAACAAAACTAGTTCACATGGGAGGCACAATAGATAGCATTACATAGATAGAACAAATAATCGGAGAATAAATAAAACTTGCTAACACTAAAACTGATAGTTGGTAAGACTGAACAACATTAGAGACAACTAAATCTGAAACTTCCTGTTTCAGATTCAGAATCACTTAGGCGCATGCCCTGCTAAGCATCTTGAGCACTGTACCTCTTGCATGACTTCGGTAGGATTTGGCGGCACCTTCACCTCCTCTTCATCTTCCTCTTCATTGATGACGATGATGGGAGGAGGACGGCGGCGGGCCTGTAGTGCTGGTGGTGGGACGATCTGTAAATCGTCATCGTCTTGGTGCACTTCTGTGTTTGCTTGAGTCGCAGCTTGTGCTGGATTGACATAGCAGTGATATGCCCACCGTTGCCTTTGCCCAGCATCGGCGGAGTCCGCCTCCTTCATTTCCCATAGCAACATGTCGATGGGCAGGATCCCCTTACCTGGGTTTCTGTCGTGGTTTTGTCACGGCAGATGCCCTTGTCAAATGACTTAGGCGTGGAGCCATCACAACCTAGGTTAGCTTGAAGGGGTTGAATGGGACAAAGGTGCAAGGTTTACCCAGGTTTGGCCCCTCATAACGAGGTAAAATCTTACGTCCTGCTTTGTGTTGTATTGATGGAGTACCGATTACGGGGGAGCGGAATCGTTTGACCTAGCTATCTATTGATTGTAACTTGAGTTAATCCGCCACATGGTCTCACCTTTATATACACAGGTCGAGACCCCGGGCTTACAAGAGTCCAAGCCGGACCACACAATGTGACCAACTCGGTTTCTAAATCGCCTTGCCTTACTAGGCAAGTCACCATCGGGCGGCTCACAGCTCCGAGTCTTGGGCCTCCAACAGGCCCGCCTCTTAAGCCGCCTCTAGTATTCATGTCTCCTCAGGCCCATCTAAGACTTTCATTCTTGAGTTGCCAACAGTGTAACCCGCCCCTCCTGGACGGGTCACACCACGGGGTTATATCCCTAACAGTTTCCATAGTGCTGGTCCATGTACTGCTTCTCCTCACACGTCATCTTCTTCATCACTTCCTCTACTGCATCTACCAGCCCTTGAACACTGGTTTATCTCATAGCAACCTTCATGTAATCGAGGAAGAGGTCTTGTCGCCACACGCCAAACCAAGAAGCATGGCAACCCATCCCTTGCCAGTTGGGAATGGGTTGAGCCATGGGTCTGGAGAAGAGGAAGAACCAGCCATGGTTGGAGCTAGGAGGAGAGTTGTTAGTGAAATTCTAAGGATATGGAGTGTGACAGAAGTGAGGTGGATAGGTCTTGAGTAGGAGTTAAGCAGAGGAGTGTAAGTGGAGGTTTAGTGTGGCAGTGGAAAAGTAACAGTGAGGTGTAGTGAGTTAAGTGGTGTAGTGTTTCAGTGCTTGATGTCATGAGACTACTCTGGAAGGGTGGTAGATGTGCTATAGTTAATGGTCAGAGTGTGTTGAAACTTGTGTTAATTTACTGCCATTGTTCATTGTCGAAGTTATATATAAATTTTGATGATTAAGATTTGTGTAGACAAAGTGAGGTGCAACAAAGTTCACATAGATTCAGAAAAGTTAAGCAAAATAGACACATTCAGATAGCATCACAAACACTAACTAGATCCAGTTGCGACGAGCGGCGAGGCCCGGTTGCGACGAGCGGCGAGGTCCGGAGGCGGCGACGGTGGCTTGTCGAGAGGGAGTGGTGAAAAAGATACAAGGCGAGATGGCTAATTTTTTCACTTGGCAAGGGAGTAAAAGAAAATAGACAAGTGTTGGCGCGGGCCTAACAGGCCACGACATAACTAACTAGGGCCCAAAAATAACCTGTGACGTGTCTATTCGGCCCACGCTACAGCTTGTCCGATTTATGTTGCGTGTCTACCTTTTTCGACGCCACTAGTAGTGTTCGACATTGCAGGCAACTGGGCACACACATCTATGACCACACGACGGCAAATGCAATATAGCCGGCGTACGAATTATGGTCACTACCGGCGTGGATTTCAAATGCCAAACAATTAAAGTTGTGACTAGTCATTTCTCTACTTTCTCTTCTAGTGTCGGGTTTGCCCGCAAAGTGTGAGAGAGTAGATTTGAGTGAGACCATATAAGTACTACCTTCTTCTCCCAAGGTTGGGTGTCGACCAGATCTCATTTCCCACAATTATTGACAACCTCCAAGCTTACACTCCATCATCTCTAGTCACTTAAAAGCTTAATTATTGAGAGCACAATAGAGAGGAGACCTAGATCTACGCTTATACCAAATCAACCTTGAATTCCCCAAATTTTCTACCAAATCTACTACTTTGGGAGCTCCCTTACTTTGTCTATGATCTTGTTCTCAAGTAGAATCTGAATTATGCTGCATTTCAAAAACTAGGCAATCACAAAGTCTTTGTCAATCTGCGTCTGTATACACTAAGAGCAACTTCAATGCGCAGACCCAAATGGACACGCATTGTGTCCGCTTTTCGTCCGTTTGGGTCGGCCGCCCGCTCGGTGTCCGCCCTATTTTTTGTTTGGGTCGGCCGTGCGTCCAAAGCGCGCGACCCATTTCATGTCCATGCATAAATTTTAAAAGGCCCGCAACCATAGATCATGCCAGCGGCCATGCCATCTCCCAGAGTTCATGCCGGCGCCATGCCAGTGGCGGGCCGACAATGGCAACCTCCAAAAAACCACCACACAGTTCATGTTGTCTGGTGCATTTGCCAGCGGCCGACACACAAAATGGGCGGGAGTTCGACCACGCCATCTCGATCGTGGTCATGGCAGCACACTTGCCAGCATAAAAAAAGTATGGTGCTCTCCGTCATAGATCACACGTCGTCGAACTTGAGCATGTCAGCCTGCATCTTCTCGAACCATGGGCGCTTCCTTGATGACATGGTGTTCAAGTCCACCTTCATTATCTCCATCCCGTCATCATGCTAGCGAGCGCCACCTCTTTTGCCTTGATCTTGGCATTGGCAACCTCGATCTCGAGCATCTTCACTTGCTTCTCCGCCTCCATCTCAAGCATCTTGAGTTGCTTCGCTGCATCGAGCTCAAGCCTCCTCCGTTGGATCTCCATGAAGGCATTCATTTGCTCTTCCCTATCTTGTTGGCGCTTCTCGTCCCTTGTGTCCTTCTTGGTCATCATGCCCTCCAAAGTGGCATGCAAGGCAATGGATGCCGCATCGTGCTTGTCCTCCTTCTTGGAGTTGGTTTCCCCCTGCAACCGTGGCTTCTTGCCCTACCTATGCTCCTCGACGGCTTCCTCCCCCCCCCACACGCCTTGGCGGCAGCATATTGCGCCTTGAACTTCTCCTCCCCGTTGATGACCATCCAACAATGGGAGAGGTTGAAGGACTCGCCCTCATGTTGGGCCTTTAATGCCTCCAAAGCATGGAATGCCTACAATGAATAGCACGCAAGCATATGGGCAAATGAACATGCAAGCATAACGGAAACGGATACGAAGAGGGGCGGGTGTATACCATATCTTTCATGCCAATGCCGATCACAGGCGTGCCTTGATGGTCTCAAGGGTGGCACAAAACTTGTTGCGCTCTTTCTGTATCACCCTCTGAGGGAGTCCTGGATTAGGGGGTCTCCGGACAGCCGGACTATATCCTTTGGTCGGACTGTTGGACTATGAAGATACAAGATTGAAGACTTCGTCTCGTGTCCGGATGGGACTCTACTTGGCGTGGAAGGCAAGCTAGACAATACGGATATGTATATCTCCTCCTTTGTAACCGACCTTGTGTAACCCTAGCCCCCTCCAGTGTCTATATAAACCGGAGGGTTTTAGTCCGTAGGACAACATACAATCATACCATGGGCTAGCTTCTAGGGTTTAGCCTCTTGATCTCGTGGTAGATCTACTCTTGTACTACCCATATCATCAATATTAATCAAGCAGGAAGTAGGGTTTTACCTCCATCAAGAGGGCCCGAAACTGGGTAAAACATCGTGTCCCCTGCCTCCTGTTACCATCCGCATTAGACGCACAGTTCGGGACCCCCTACTCGAGATCCGCCGGTTTTGACACCGACATTGGTGCTTTCATTGAGAGTTCCTCTGTGCCGTCGCCAGAAGGAAGGATGTCTCGTCTCGTCTTTAAAGACGGTACTACTGTTGGAGGAGCTTTGGCTGTCGGCCAAACTCTCCGGCTAGGCGGTTTCATCATGACTGCCTGTTCGGCCGCCGCGCCGATGATGACTTCTCGGGTCATCGAAAACAGCCTCCACGTCAAATCGGCACTCGCCGAACAGATGGATCCAATGGAGCTCGCCTCCTTAAACGAGCTCTTGGATCGCATTGCCGCCTTGGGAGTCGCTACGGACTATGATCGGATTGGGCTTAAACCCGATCAAAGGGAGATTAACTCTCTACCGGTCACCCATCATATTGCAGTGGTGGAGGAACAATGCGGCGACCTTTCCTCTATATTGAGGACCAACTATGTCCGGATTCCTGAGCTCTCCGAGCCGGACGCCCGTTCGCGGGAGGACAACATCCAATCCCTGAACTTAGAGTCAGGCAGCGGGCCAGGATTGTCGGGTAACACCCCGGAACCGGAACTTCCAAAATTGGAAACTCCTCGGCCCCTGGATCCCAGATCGGGTAAGGGTTCGGATTCAATTCCACCCACCCACCCAAACATAAGCGATCTTTCCCACATCAGGCAAGAGCCCCAGGAAACAGTACATCACTATTGGGCCAGATTCCTCCTTGCGATGAACAAGGTTAAGGACTGTCGTGAGGAAGACGCAATCCTATTTTTCTGCAATAATTGCACGGACAAGGGAATCCTTAACGCCATAAATCTCTATGAGATAACACGCTTCGCTGACTTGGCGTCCATAGTACGAAAGTACTGTGCGATGGAAAGTGCCTGGAAAACCGAAACAAATTTTTGGGATAATCCGGCCCCGAATACAAACCCAGTCCGAAATAGGTGCATTATCACAATACACCCGGGTCAACTACCAAAAAGCAAAAACCCTCTACAGGGCATGGAACCGTACTGGAGGGATGGCTCAATGGACCCTGCAAAATTCATAGTACGGTGGATACAACACCAACGCACAGCTTTAGAGTATGTTGGATACTCCGGCAGGTGGCCAAAAGTGGTGAGGATCTTCTTCTCCCGAATACCACAGAGCCCCATCCCGTGGATAACAATACGGTGTTAACAGTCTTTGAGACCTTCGCATCAAATAATAGGCGCAAGCGAACACTCCGCAGCATGACCGAAATCTGCCACGTAGCAGCAATAAATCCATGGAGTGACACGACTATTACCTTCAATGCCAGTGATGAACCTAAATTACGAACAGCCCGAGCACCAGCCGCACTGGTCCTCAGTCCAATCGTGGACGGCTTTCGACTCACCAAAGTACTCATGGAGGGCGGCAGCGGATTAAACCGCATATATGAGGAAACTCTTCAAAAGATGGAAATAGACTAGAACCGCATTGAGCAAAGTAGCACAACCTTTAGAGGAATCATCCCCAGTCGGGAAGCATGCTGTGTGCTGGGAAAATCACACTAGATGTGGTATTCGGCACGCCGGATAATTACAGGTCCGAAGAAATTACATTCCAAGTGGCCCCATTCAGCAGTGGTTATCACGCTCTTTTAGGACGGGAGGCATTCACAATCTTCCAAGCCGTACCCCATTATGGGTACATGAAGCTCAAAATGCCCGGGCCCAACGGAATCATCACTCTCGCCACCGATCCGGACATAGCACTCCGCGCCGAAAACAAAAAAGCTGCATTGGCCCTTGAAGCATTATCCGAAGCCCTCTCGGCCGAGGAATTAACCACGCTACGCTCCACAGTGGACAGGGACGACGTGATACTCGACAAGAGATCCAAGCCCACCTCTTTTAAACCAGCGGATGAAATAGTCGAATTCCAAGTCCACCCAACGAACCCTACAAAAACAGCCTCCATCGGGGCACAGTTAAACCCCGCTGTGGACACCGCACTACGAGAGTTCCTGCGTGTGAACTGGGACATATTCGCGTGGCATCCCTCAGACATGCCAGGAATCCCATGCAGGCTGGCCGAGCATAGCCTCAATATCCTAAAGGGATTCAAGCCGGTCAAGCAAGCTCTTCGGCGTTTCTCTGAACCTAAGAGACAGGCCATGGGAGAGGAACTAGCCAAGTTATTGGAGGCCGGATTCAT